ATTAAAAAAAATTATTTGAAATTACCACTATTTATTGCTAATTTGTTACTTCTTCTATAATAAATTTTGCTTCTCATCTAGATCATGAATCTATTCGGTCCCATTCTAAAAATACAGAAAGAGGTATGAAAAACATTAAATTGTAATATTTTTATCACGTACCTTCTAAAAAAAAATAGATATAAAAAGTCGTTGTATTACTATGTTTGCAATATAATTCAATTGTGTCACAAATTAATGATCTGCATGTGACATGAACAAATTTCTATTATGCTACGCGTTGATCGACCACAATCTTTTTTTCTTTTTTTTTGTTCTTGTTACAATGCCACAAAAGAAAGATTCAAATAAAAGAAGCAAAACTGAAGTTCATGAGGAATATTTTGAGTAAGTGTTTTAAGGATGGTGGTGGTGGTGGTTATCACCCACCACTTGTCATCACTCTAGTTATTTTTAAAAATGAATGATGATTGTGGTTATTGTTGTTAAAATAAAAATTTTTGTTATTCCATATTATTCATTTTCTTCTTATATGTATATATCCAACCAAAATACTTAAAAAAGAAAATGTGATGTCGATAAAGAAAATTTGGAAATAAATGAAGGTTCAGATAACAACAACAATATAAAATTGGTGGAGTTGGAAGAGTTAAAGCTTAATAATGAGATAGTTATTGGAGAAAATGAAATTTCAGATTTTTATCCATATCAATGAGGCAGAACCCAGTAGTGAGTCTCTTGTACAAAAATATCCAAATGTAGATAGCCCGAAAGATAATTGGCTTTTACCTTCAGGAATATTGATAAGAAATATAATTTATGGGCCAAAGAATCTTCACAAATCGCAGTAAGTTGCAGATTTATATTTTCTTTTATCTCACCTTCCAATTTCACATATACAATTGTTATTTGTTTATATCTTTAGTCCATCACATTTTGGAATAATACATATTGGTGTCAATGTTCGTAAGCCTGAATGGATAGAGGACAAAGATTGGATCTATTTGAATTCAAGTGTTGAATTCCCACACTTTAAATTATTTTCTAACACAGAAGAATTACTAATTTTACTTTTAAAGACTGTAAGTGTAATTGATATTGTTATTATTTTTTTTTTAATAAAATTTTATTAACAAATGTTAATGATAGGACTCTTTAACCAAATATAAGAAAACCATTTGTGAAGCAAAATACAAAAATGATATTGATCCTGAAATGGAATTTATTACAGTTGTTCTTTGGTGGTTGTAAGTGTTCTAACAACAATTCATTAAATTAATCTCTGATTTTTTTATTTATTGATTAATTTTGATCAATTTTGAAGTGCAAATAATGTATTTAATACCACTTTTAGGATCATCAATGATTCACCCAATATTACAATACCTCATGAATACAACTGACCGTATTACATATATTCCGTATGTTAATATAGAATTATATTTTGATTTACATTTCATTTTTCTTGAAAGCATTAAAAAACCCTTTTTTTCAAACAAATAAAATAGTGGTGAAATTTATCTAAAAGCAAATGCCAATCAAAGATTATTGAGGCGTAATTTAAAACCTGAAGATGACAAACCTTTAGGTATGAAGGTGGATGGTTTATTTCATACTCCAGGAAATAAAGGTCTTGAAATTGGAATGTTTGAGTTATCAGGTGGTTACTTAACTTCAGATATGCCTAGATATATAAAAGGTCATGTTAAAGGTTATTGGGGGTGTTGTGATATTCTCAATGATATTGCAAAAAAATACAATCATGGAGATCATAAAATTTTGAGAAATTTACATATGTGGTTCTTTCACATACATGGTAAGTTGTTGATAAATAAACTCAGTATTTTAATTTTATAAGGTAAATAATTTATTTTTATTTATGCATACAGGTCAAGAAGTGCAGGCATGGGGAATGGATCTTCCTGTTTCAAAAGTTTACAGGATGTTTTTAATTGATACATTTTATTTGCCAATTAATTGGGATGAGCATCATGAATTAGTGGATGCGTTAAAAATTTTATGGAATTTGGGGGTAAGTAAAATTTGAATGCGTTCCTTATATTAAAAAGTCTTATTCTAATTATTATTATTTTTTTACAGAGAGGCTTAGATAATTCATTTTGGTTACTGGAAGAATTTAAGAAATCACATCGATGAAACACTAGGGTTTGTATTCACAGATACTGTAAGGAGGTCACACAGGGTTACACACTATTAAAATCAAGTGTTTTTAAGGGATTTTTTGCTGATTTATTAGTGTGTAACCCCTTAACGGTATTCATGGTATCTGTGAATACATACCCTATGAAACACAGCATTGTATACATGATCATCAATCTTGAAAGATTATGTCAGTGATGCAAATGAGAATTCTCCATTAAATCCAACTGGAAAAAAAGCCCGAATAATAAATCCTCATTCTCTTACACCTAATGATCATGATGATAGTAATGATAATGATCCACCTTTGCTGTCTTCATCAAGGTATTCTGGATACCCTTGCCTGTTGACCTCTGGTTAAAATTTTATTTACCAACTTGATAGAAATTGTATATAGATTGGATTTATATTTTGTAGAATGAGAAATAGTAAAAATTTGTTATTTGGTAATCATAAGCATCTGATTTGTGTATAGGAAAAAATCAATAAAGTATTATATAATAATAATTGTAATCATTTATTAAATTGCAAGATCTACATCATGTGCCAAATTATCAAAAAGTTGTTGGCTAGTTGATACTACAGGCATCAGAACTCCAAAACTGTATACATCTGATGCCATTGTATATGGTTTCTCAATTAAACTTCTGATGCAATATATGGTAGTACTCTACATATATCATTATGTTTGATTAGCTTGGCATGATAATCCTAAGCCTGCAATATATGAACCTATATCTCTTTGAAGAATATTACCACTATGAAGATCATGAAACTTCATATAATTTTTGAACTAAAACAACAAATAAAATATTCAAAATAAAATCACTTCCATGACTTTATCACTCATTAATTTGTCTCTTGTTGTCATTAAGTTTAATCTTTTTTCCACTTTTAAAGTAAAATGATTTATATACTTAATATATCATCATAAAAAGGATATAAATATAGTATATTAAAAGAATAAATAAAAAAAGGAACAAACAAGAAAATCATGACAAACATCATAAATGAACAACAACAAGCAAACAAAACACTAATTAATGAAATAGAATTATTGAAGAAACAATTAGCTGAAAACAAAGAAAACTTTAAGTTAAGAACTTGAAATGCTGTTCACAGCCTTACTGAAAGTTCAGAATATACTGGAACAAGTTTAAGAACCTTAGAAAG